ATATTTTTGGCTAATCAAGTTAAATTTTGATTCATATTTATTAAAAATCTGGCAGCAATGTAAATGTTTCAGTAGTAAATCTTCAAATATATAATTTGACTTGATTCCCAGATTGTTGTGATAAATTTCAATTTTGGCTTTTAATATATTGTTTTGAAAAAGGGTTAATTTTGAATCGCAAATTGCTATGCTACCCTGACTTAGGATAAAATTTGTTGTCCCACCTGGACTGGGACTGTGATATGACAGGGCTTCAGGGTTCAGATTTATTACATTAAGTAGATGGTATGTTTATACACACCTGATAGAGAGACAGTACAACCTCAGTGACATCGAGACCATTGGACAGAATTATCACATACAAAGTAGTAGATAGTGACCCCACAGGTTCTTATTTATTTCATAGAGTAAATAACATAGAAATATCAAAACAATTTAATTACCTCAGTGAACTCCTTACAGATAATGCCAAGTTAACCAATCCATATCCTTAAATATTTATTGCCCTGATACTTTCAATAGCCCCATTTCCTAAATTAAAAAAAAAATGGTCATGCTTTAGAGAATAAATAATGGTATAAGAAACTTATAGCTTTGTATATTATAATTATTATTTTTATATTATGTATTATAATATATATTATGTAACCATGCAATCATGTACAAAATACGTTTTCAGCATTTGTAATGTTCAATTTACGACTTTAAGCTTGTGATTATGTTTTTTACACTGTGTCCATTTAACTAAAGTAAAATTTTGTATTAATTTTCATACCTTCAAAGTGCCAGTGATCACTTTTCTGCTTTGAAATTTGAGGGAAAAAAGTTAAGATTTAATAAAAATGTGTTTTTTTTTATAACAGTCTTTTGAGTTCATCAAAAAAAAAAACATCCTTTATATTATGAATTTATGCAATAAATATTCCCTTAAAATTGTGAGTTTTTTTGTAGAAAATATTCTTTTTACTCAGTGAGAGTATCTAGTAAATATTCTTTCCAAAATAGAAGTATATTCCCTTTAAAAAATTAGTATAGGCCTTAAACATTACTTTCAAAGTGGTCAATATTATGATATCACATGTTCATTCAAAAGAATTTTTTTCTTAAAGGGACAGATGCGCCATTTATTTTGACCAATCATACTTTAGTCTTAGGAATGGGAATTTTTTAGCTAAGCCAATCAGTACTAGTGTCTACAGCTCACTATCAAAATTTGAGCCTCCAATTCCATGTTTATCCAGAATTATCAGCGTTTGCATGTTAAAATGATGACTCATCAATTTAAGATACTCTGTATACTCTGTCTATAGAAAAGACATATATAGATATAGTGAGTAAAATTTCTAGTGTGAAGTATTTTTATAGGAATTATGTGATTTTCTTATATTTCTAGTACTTCTGAAGACTATTTACATATATTCAAGACTAATATCAACCCCCCAAAAATGCTGCTCCTGTCCCTTTAAATTATGATGATGTGAAACATATCCTTTATATAGTGAGTTCCTGAAAACATTTTTTTCAAAATTTGAGTATATGAGAAATAATCCCTTCAAATAGTGAGTTTATGTAGTAAATTATGGTGAACCTTTAAACTTTACATTGACAGGTTGTGAATCAATGTCAATTTAAGAGAAAAACTTGAAGTAACACTTTACACTTACTTTATATATACACAGTTGATTATAAAAAATACTACAACCTTAATTAATTTTACATTTTCATCAGTTTTCACAAGTTTACCTAATTTCAAGTTTGACCCATTTTCCAGGACAAATTGGTTCTTTGCATCTACTCATTGTCATGGATAAACAAATCATTGTTTACTTTAAATTGTTTAAAATAAATAGAAGCCTATAAAGGTGATAAGCAAACAAAAAAACAAAAAAATTCAAACAAAATTATAGTAAATTTACAATTTCAGAGACCAAATTGAATGTAAACTTTTCTTCCTTTAAATCTCTGTGTTTTTTCAAGATTTTTTTAAACCAGTCCAAAAAACTGAAAGACATCAACAATAAAGTCTAACTATCTTTTAAATGACTAAGTTCACAATCTGTTTGCCTCTTAGTCTCAGAAATAAGAATTTTAACTAAACTAAACAGTAATAGTGTTCACAGCTCACCATCACAATTTGAAATGAAATGAATGGAGTTTTACGTCCTACTTTTCTGCAATATGTGGGAAAATGAAGATAGGCAATGCCATGCAATGAGGGAAATTTTGCCAGGACAGCGACATTAGCCTGCTCACAAACTCTTACTCCCACTGATAAATCAAATGATATTACTAAAAAATATATGATTAACTATTAACCTTGAAAATATGTTTTTAATAATTATATTATTAATTAGGTGAAATATTGATGACCAATATAATAAACACCAGAAAGGCTGTAGGGTATACCTAATTACAATTATTTCATAGATTTATGACAGGTTCAAAACATACACCTAGATATTATTAATTAATTAGCTGTACACAACATTAAGCTAATTAGAAATAGATTGATTAGAGCAGTAGGATTATCACAGTAGGAATCTGTCATCAGTTCTTATATACCTACTCTAAATATTTAATATTTAAACACCTTCATAGCATTAGGCCACATTCAATTATTTGCCTGCTTTAAGATAATCAAAGAAAATCAATGGAATTTTACGCACAGCTGCAATAAAAAATGTGTTCGATGTCAGACACATTCAACTTTTGGATAATCCAATTTACAAAGAGCAGATAACCTTGTGCATGAAATAATACTAAAGGTGAAATTTCTTGTTCAAGGTCTACTTTAAAGAAATATGTACAGCTCTAGAACTTCTGAAAACTATTTACATATATTAGACCCCAGAAAAAGGCAAATCTGTCACTTTAAAAAGGAGACGTTTTTGTAAAATTTCACTTTAACAGACATAGCTTTGAGCATGAAAAACACCAACAAACATTATAATTGGCCTAATTCTGCCTAGCTACTGTATTAACACTTCGTTAACAAGGCATTGTGATAGAAATCAGTTGTCTAACACCTATTGTTTCTGATCACAGATGGACACTATTACTATAGTGTTACGGTACATTATTGACAGTATTTGTCAAAATAACCAGGTTAATAACACACTGGTCATTATGATTAATATTTTAACACAGCATGCAAGTTTCATGACATGTTAACAACCATGACCACCCCCCACCCCTCCAACCCTCTCCATTCCATCGTCCTTTAGGTTTCTTGGACAAATAACAATTAATAATTTAGATAGCTACAAATGAAATGTTAACTTAAAAAATTATTCACCATGAATATTGTAGTAATTTGTTTTTTAGAAAATGGAAACATCTGAATGTCATATTGTAGCTATTTTTAAAAGTTTTTAAGGTGACGTAACTTTTTATGTTATATACCTTATTTAAAACTATACATACACATAGTATTTTAAAGTACTACGACCTAACAAAATATGCTAATATTAACAAGTTTAGACATTTTCAATAAGACGAACGCGAATTAGGACGAATTCAAGTTGTCACAAGTACGGTGACGCCGAATGAAACTTTGAGATCTGGTAAGTTTGCAGAACAGTTTTCTTTGTTCGGATCTTACAAAAGTTTACAAAAGTGCATTGTTCTTAATTCTTCGGTTAGCTTTTTAATGAGCAAACAATCATTCAAATGCCAAATGCACTCAAGAAAGCCAAGGTTGAAATTTAACCTGTAGAATTTTATTGAAGGGTGCAGGTAGCCCGCTACAAGTTGAATTTTAATGTGAGTATAGACAGTGAAGAACTGGACTGTAGGTAAACAATCAACAACGCACCTGTATAGACAGATTAACACAACCCTCTTATATCCAGCCATTTTTCTCAACGCTTAGTTCAATGACATTCAGACTGGTTAATAAAATATAACGGCGCCACCTTCACCATGGAAGTATACTCGTGTTGATAATCATGGAATTGCAAACTTGAGTTATGATATTAGATTTCCAAGAGCCTAAAATTTAGGATATAGGCGGAGTTAGTTTATTATTGAAATATTCATTGGCTGTAAGGCCTGAATTAACCTCTTCAAAAGGGTCACCAAGATGGCGTCTTATTTTTCAGGTCCGAGTGAATCTTGTTGATAACGAATGACGTCACAAGTACCTGCTTGCAGCTTTGTAATTTGATTGGCCGAAGATTTACTAGCATGATTTCATTGGCCAATTCTTCGTATACACCGACCTTCATATCCAAAATGGCTTCCATCGAGCTGGGTCTTCCATTCGGTTGTTAAACTTTAAGTGGAAAAATCTAGCTTCGTTTATACTAATTCAACGATAAGAAATTGCGCTTAAACAGGACAGATTGCTTTTATCAGTAATGGTTCTATGCTGAACAAGTTGCATCTGGATTAAACGATTATCGTGTGGAAGTTTTGGGTGCGTGCCAAGTTGACAAATCTTCTCGTCGAGTTTCAACATAGTTTACTCGTACGAGTGAGCAAGTAAGTCGGTGATGCGTATCTATTTCGTGTGTTAAATCTACTTTGTGGATTATCTTCGTTACTGACAATGTGTACTGTGTTTACGGGATATTTGAAGTCAGACAGAAGATAACGCTTGAGAATTTATGGATTTGATGTAAACAAACATTTTTATTTTTCTGGATTTTAAAGGAAAGATTCGTGTACGTTTGGCGAACAAGATCTTTTTATTACTACAGTGACGGTGAAATATCAAGATGACTGTTGTTTAGTCAGCCTATTATCAGTATAAGATAGAGTTGTAACATAAGGTATTTCACCATTTTAACTTTTACCATCTTAAATACTCAGAGGATATGAAAATGGATTATCATTTACTTTCATCATTTCATACACAGCTGTGTTTCTTATTGATTTGTGTGATCTCTCAACTTGCCACTGTCAACAGTTGGCAATATCAATGGAATCCTAATTCTTACTCTTCTGTCCGAAGAAATGGATATGGTATTCAGCAGTTCCCTGATGAATCGAGAAAAGATAATTACTTTAAAGTGATCAGTTCTCAAAATGATTGGATGTTAGTGGGTGGAAGAAATGTTATTCATAATGTTAGTTTAAATGATTTGGAATTACTGGACTCTATAAATTGGCCATCAGATAAATCGGACATTAATGTTTGTATACACAAGCAAAAAACCAAAGAAGAGTGTCAAAATTACATTCGTGTAATTGTCCCCAAGACGCCAGGAGAATTATTTGTATGTGGTACAAATGCTTACAGACCAAGATGTCGGACATATATCAAACAAGAAAATGGCAAATTTGAATTTGAAGGCAAGGAAGAACAGGGAATAGCGAAGTGTCCTTTTGATCCAAAACAGAACAGCACATCAGTATATTCCAATGGTGTACTTTACTCAGCAACTGTGGCTGATTTTTCCAACCGAGATCCTTTGATTATTCATGCAGAAAAGAATAAATATGTCAGAACTGAACAATATGATTCCAAATGGCTGAATGAACCCAATTTTGTCAGCTCCTTTGACAAAGATGATAAAGTTTTCTTCTTTTTCCGAGAAACAGCTGTAGAAAATATTAACTGTGGTAAAGCAACCTTCTCTCGTGTGGCTAGGGTCTGTAAACAAGATGTTGGTGGAGATGTTGTCTTACAGAATATATTCACATCATATTTCAAAGCCAGACTAAATTGTTCCATTCCTGGAAATTTTCCATTCCACTTCAATGAAATCCAGTCAACTACGGAATTGGGACAAGGCAACTATAGACCAGTTTCTGATAGTGGAGACAGGAATAACATGGTGTATGGTGTCTTCACAACAAATGAAAATAGTATACCAGGATCTGCTATCTGTGCCTATAGCCATGCTGATATTCTGGATGCTTTCAGGGGAAAATTTAAAGGACAAGAATCAGCCTTACACAACTGGTTGGCTGTACCTCGAGATAAAATTCCCACCCCTCACCCGGAAAGATGTACCAATGACAGCAAAAAGATTCCTGACATGACATTAGATTTTGTCAAAACTCATCCCTTGATGGACACTGCTATTCCAGCCAGAGGAGGTGCTCCAGTTTTGGTGCACACTAGTTTTACTTCAAGATTTACTCAAATTGCTGTGGACTGGCAAGTTTTTTCTGGAAAAGGACGTTATTATGATGTTATGTTTGTTGGAACTGATGATGGTAAAGTCATCAAAGCTATCAACAAAGGAGAAACATCCAAAATTGAAACAGTTGTGATAGAAGAGATCCAAGTCTTTGCTGACAAGTCACCCGTGGTCAACTTGAAACTCTATAAAGGGAACCATATTTCCGAGAAATTGGTTGTCATCTCTGAGAAAGAAATCATCTCTATTCCTCTACACCGTTGTCACGAGAAGAAGAATTGTCATGATTGTGTTGCCCTTCAAGACCCTTACTGCTCTTGGGCTGAAAATCAATGTATCAATTCAGAAAGAGGGATCCAGAATATACAGCAAGGTAAAGATGAAAGTTGTGATCCAGTACCACCGTTTGGAGTCAGCAAACCAACACAATCTACAACAGTAAAACAAATTCCTCCAGTTAAGAATACTTGTGATTGTTCATCAGAACAGAACACTAATCAAGGATCCAGCCATGGTGATGATCATAATATGGAGAATAATATTAAACCAAATCCTGATTGGTATCCAAATACACCAAAGGAAAACAACGATGTCATAAATGAACCTGGCCGAGCGGGAGAAGTTAGTGTTGTTCAGGAAGGTACGGTTAGCGCTTCTACGCTGGCCATAGCGTTAGTTGTAGCCATAGTGTTATCTCTTGTGTTAGGATTTATTATCGGATATAGAGTGAGTGCATGCCGTGGTTCACGTGACATTGAAACACCATATTTAGACCGAAATATTGCTATTCAAAAAAGCAAAAATCGGCTCTCATCGACGGGAGAAAATGTGTATTTTAATCCAGACAATGCTACTTTACAAAAGCAGTTAAACTATGTTGTGAACGTTAATAAAAACGGAAAATTAAATAGTTGTGTGGAAACTAAACCAGTTCAAAAATCAAATAAAGTCTATTTATGACTTAAAGATAGTGTGTGTTAATTGGTGCTTTCAGTGATATAAATGTATTAATTCAAACCAAAGTTAAAAAACTACGGTACTTGATGGCTGGATCATCGTGTCAATCCTTGTGATTTGAGAAAAGTTTGACCGCATCAAGCAAGCTACTGCCAAGGGTAACAACTCATCAAGAGGGCTGACTAAAGGTATTTCTTTCAGCCATGTGTTTTACTTGTTTGTTGGATTTGTGAAGTGTTTGTTTTAAACCTGTTATTCACGTCTGTAGCAAATGAAGAAGCCTGGAGTTTCTCTCGGACTGTGTTATGGACTACTGCCAAAAACCTCTTAACTTCAGTCAGTGTGTCTTAAAGCTTTGTGAATCTTGTGATTACGTTTTGGCTATCGGCCTGTTTTTATTATACTTTTTTTTTTGACTGAAGTTAAGATATTGTATTTACACACACAAACGATCATGTGACCCTACATCAGACTCTTCAAAAGGTTGTGATTTTAATAAACAAACAACACACTTAAACGTTTTCACGAGTTGTGACATTTTTATTTCAAAATTGGGAGAGCTGATGTTGAAACTGGAAAGAAAGTTTTAAAAATGTTGACGTCATGAACTCTAAAGTTCACTTTATATAAAGACATTCCATTGAAATTTGGATAATATTATTTAGTGCTATCATATCCCACCTTGTATGTGTATTATAATATATAACATATCTTAGCTCACCTAGTGGGTAAAGGAAGATTGAGGTCAACAATTTTCTAAGCCTCTCATATTACTGCATTGGTAGCGTCATGGTCGACCAGGTCTTTTTTTGTTGTCTTCACGTGAATAACATCTTTTCATCTGATACTATACATTAGTTTCTTTTCAAACGACAATCTTGCTATATTATCTGGTGAATAGATATGACAGGCAATGTATAAATAGGTGATTATCAGAACAGGCTACCATTAAAAAGTGTATAGTTACTCAGATAAATATTAGGATGTTTTCTCAACCGTAAATCAGATCAAATTTAAAAATTTAGAAGATGACAAGGCACAAATTTTTAGATATATATCTAGATTTATTGTAATAAATTCTCAGAAATATGTCAACTACAATTACATTAAACATATGTATTTTACTATGTGCAGTAATATGAAAGACTTGTAAGAAGGATATGTGAGAAAGGACACGAAATTATTCCCAACTAACGATGGCATTGGTCACATTCTTACTACTTACAAAATGAAACATCATATAAAATGGTCATCCCATACACATACTTAGTTTTTTTTTAATTTTTCAAAGCTTTATGCAATCTTTTTATTATATCATTGTTAAATGATAGGACTTTAACCATTTCTTATTTTAACAAAGTACCAACCTGATGCTATGCTTAATTTGCCAGTTAAAGTGTTTTCCAAGAACACTTTTCAATTTAAAATTTGTCATGAGAAAAAACACACGTATTACAATATTGGTCAAACAATCATTAGTGAGAAAGAATTCAGATTCAAGTAATCTTATCAAATCTTCTTCACTCAAAGTACATATTTCTGAATTTTCACATTTTCTCAAATTTCTAACAAGGAATGGTAAAAGTGCCTAGCTTATATTTTAATCTTAATCTGTTAATTTAACTAAAGGTTGTATATTTTGTTCTATAAATTTATATTTTAGTTTTAAGGGGCATACACACATCAAATTATTAATGGATGCTCAACTTCAAGTTTTTATTTATAGCATTGCAATATCAACTCAGAACTCTTTTGAATGCATTTCAATATTTCCTAAAAAATCTTTTGAACCATTCAAAGGGATTGTTAAGGAGGTTTGCTAAATTTTTTATCAGGGACACTGATAGCATTAATTTTCACCATTCCGCTTTTTAATCAGACGGCTGTGGTTCCTTATGTGAAATAAGCAATTTTGCGATTAGTGACGTCATCAAACACTTAGTTTTAGTAGAGCTACTGGAACCACAGATGTCTGATTAAAAATTAAAATGGTACAAATTGATGCTAACAGTGTCCCAGATATACTTAAAAAAATTTAAGAAACCTCTTTACAATCTCTTTAACACTGAAAAAAAAGGTCAGAATGGAGTAAATAAAGGACCAAATCTGAATTTTCTAGTTCTGGTGTACATCAAGTTGTAAACAAGGGTTGTTGTTTTTGGTAACCTATAGCACCATTTTAGATTATTTTTCCCTTAGGTGTGTATTCATTCTATTTTAACACAAACCATAGTCCTTCAGAAAGCTGTGTTTATGACAAAGCTGTATTCCCTAAAGAAATCTTTCTTGAAATATGTGTAATTGGTTTTGTTCTAAGCAATCAGAGGGAATATATACTGTATTTGAAAAGTAATTTAGACTTTCAAACAAACAGAATCAATTTAAAAGTAATTTTCTTGGTATAACATTTACAAAAATCATGTTCAAATCTGCTGGAAGCCTGGAATGGAAAGTAAGATATAAGTTCATTATTTTATTCCGATCTCGAAAACTGAAAGAACACCTGGAGTCAAATATAAACACTGTCAGTTATACTTTGAAAACATATCTATGCTATTCATTATGTGAATTTTAAACCATAGTAGATTAAATTACTATCATGCAGTATCAGTGGGATGGTAACATATTCTGAAATAGATAACAACTTCTACTAATGTAGAATTTAAAACTAATTGGAAATACCAGATATTTGTTAATTCTTCCCAGTTGTTTATTTGTTGTTGACTTAATAACTAAGAACGTCTCTTAAGACCGTTCAAGGAATACAGCTTCGTTATAAGACAGTTGACATTTAAATGTTTTTGTTATCAATTTCAAGTTAAATGCTTGAAAGTAATGTCAAAAGATTATAATTTGTCTTGTTGTTATTATGAGGATAATATCAAGTTATGATATTTTAACAATACTTCTCATGTTAATGTAAAATATGTTTGTTAAGGCTTTGATAGGTTAAACATGTATTTTTATCATCTGAAACCATTAAAGACAGATTGAAATTTATCTTTAAATTTAAGAACAATTGATAACATTTATATAGTTTCGAACTATCATGTATTGGGAATATGAATTGCATTTTTTTTTTTGAAAAATGTATTTCATCAAGAGTGATCATTAAGGCAAACTCTATTCCAACCCTTTTGACAAGTACAAAATGTGACTTTTTCATCCACCTTGAAGTTTATTATATATTTATTAAAATCTATAAACCAATTTTCTTTTTTTTGATGAAATTATCATGCAGCTGTAGCTTATGTACATGAAATTTTGTATCTTTAAGGGGTGACATGCAAAAAGACAGACAATTTTAGCATGAATTTAGTCATCCCCATAAATTAATTTTTTGGGGTAAATTTAGGGCACAAATATGAGATTTTTAGGGGATAAGGATCGACAATAGATCAATTCACAAATTTCAGATTCAATCATTTTTATTCAAACATCAGCATAAAATATTCTGATTAAAATGATTGATATTATATTTTTTGTTTTTATTAACAAATTAATATTAGTTGTTATTGCTGGAGGGAAATAGTTAAAATCTGATAACAAATGATTATTGCTCATAAAATATAACATCATTCAGATAACTAGCTATAAAAAACAGATTTAGGCAGATGGCACACGCTTGAGAAAAAAATAACATTTGATTTCGGTAATGGACTAGATAGTATTTCCATCAGTTTCCAATTTATTCTGGTTTTCTGAAATATCACTAGCATATTTTTCAGTTCTAATGTCAATTTGCTTTCTAGTTTTTAATTTGGAAATACTTTTCTTGTGCAGTTCCATTGGTTTTTGACATTTCTTGAATATAATTTTAATGTAAGTTACTTACAATATGGTTTTGAATTTTGAAAGATATCAGTAAGGAAGCTTGGTGATCAACTTTGAAATTAAACATTTTTTGTGATTTTTTTGCTTCAGCTTTGAGTGACAGAATAAAAATAACTACTGTGATTTCGAAATTGATTTCTCTAATGAATTCCTAAATTTGGAACTGGATTTTCTATGGATGTTGTGAAAGATAATTATATTGTGTCTTAAACTGTCAGGTTTTCTTTTTTACCTCCAGCAATACTCTCTATTTCTTTTTTATTTCTTTTCTTCAGTTTTCAGACTCAAATCTCTCTTCAAAGGAAAGAGAAGAGACTTTGTTTTGGCCTGAAGATATGTTGAAAGTGTCTTTATCTGTAGTTAAACAATTCATGGCTGGTCCATTCTATGTATAAATTTACTAAATCTTCTCACAACTTGTCAATAAAAAAAATCTTTTCTTCTAGCATTTTAATTACACGCTTTGTAGATCAATTTACTTAATCGATAATGTAAAGTCGTGAAAAAATAACAAATGACACTTTTGTTTT